TTTTGAAAAACCTTTCTTAAATACGAATGTGATCAATGAAAGAAAGAAAGAAAGAATACTCCACCTTTCAGCTACCATGCGGTATAAGGTGATATCCAAAAGCAATTTTTATTAGTTCAATATTTTTCCTACAATTATCATAAGCTGTAGCTCTGAACAGAAGGTCGGCCTGAATCAGAGCTCTTCATATGGGCTGACTAACCACTTACTAGTGACCTTGTAGTCAATGTGATTCGAGAGAAACAATTCCTAGTGACTTGCCCAAGGTCACTCTATGACTGATGGTACCAAGATTTGAATGCAGCACATTGTGGATATATGTCAGACAACGAAATCATTCATACATGGTGATGTTCATCAATGAGTCACAAATTTTTGAGGAAAAGTTATAGAAATTCCACAAAAATCTTCGATTTCCATATCATTTTGATCGTAGTCTTAGTCGTGGTAGTAAGTGACATGGTCATGGTCATATACATAACCAGTTTTCAGACCTCTTTACATTCGAAAATACTTATATGTAAACGATTGATACACGTGATTTATTCGTAGATGATACGTCATAGAATTCTGAGCGATTGCTGTTTTGAAAATGTTGATCAAAACCAATTTAACTTAAAAGTTTCGAAAAAATTCATAATCAACGACAAAAAATCGTAATAAGTGTTCAGACCTCCAGATACCATAAGCGATAGAGCCTCGAGATTCAAATCTACCTTAGATTCAGGTATCCTAGATTAGAGAAAGCTCAAATACTTGTTTCTCATTCCATAAGATTGATAAATTTATACATTAAACAAATTTAGAAAACATGCTTGAGGAAACATTGAATTTTTTTATGAATAAATGTTAGGCCGTACATCTCCAAAAAAACTACAAACTGTTGAAAGTTTTCTTTGCGGTCAGAAGCTAAGCTTACATGTCTAAGAAACATTGTCGACCTTTTTTTTTTTTGTAAATATTGCTATTTCATTAATATTCTGTTATTCAGTAAAACAGATCGAAAACTCTTCTTTCAAGAGTCCAAACTAGATAAAACACAAATGCTGCAAAATAAAGAATACTATTTTATCTGAATGGTATAAATAGATTCACCCTTGTCATTATTCTTAACTTTTTGAAGGAATCTTATAAAGATTGTTGAACCTATCCTAAATTCAAAATGTCCCACCGCCTATACTAGATATGTCTGATCTTTACTCTCCTTCTCTCTTTTCTTGGATGTTCTTTATGCATAGGTTCTAAAAGAATTCTTTCAATGCTCAGAAGGGAGTCTCATTAAGTAATAAATCGTATTTGACATGAGTCTTATCTCATTAGATAGCAGAACGTCTAAAACGAATTTGTACTCAAATGTTTTTTCAGACTTTCTACTACCAATTAAGATAAAACCCATCACTATAGTAATTTATCACTTGGCGACTTTTATTGAATAGTGTTCCATTGTCAATAGATTGAAAATGATACAACATAGTATGTTTTCTTTTTTGTTGTTGTTGTTTAAGGTTGTATTCATACACTTTATATAAATAATGAACTAATCAATTTTGCTAATGTTGATTATCGTCATAAAATCTTACCCGGTTGTGAAATCAATGAACAAAATCCATCATCATGTACTAAAACAACTTGTCAACATGGTCAATGTCAACTTGATGGTTCAACTTATAAATGTAAATGTTTTAATGGATTTACTGGACAAACATGTAACGAATGTAATCTATTGATTTTTTTTTCTCTCTATATTAGAAAACGAATATATTTTATTTATTTATTTATTTTAGCAATAATATCATCAATATCATCATCATTGATAGATTCATGTAATTTGAATATTCAAACAGGATATTATATTGATCCATTAACTAAATGTCGAAGTACTCGACGTTTACGTATGACAAAATGTTTTGGTAGATGTCCATCTGTATTTAATAATGAAACATTATCATCATGTTGTAAACCAATCGAAGTTAAACGTCGATATTTTCGTATGACATGTACGAGTGGTTCTACTTATAGACAATCATTAGAATTTTTTAAAGAATGTACATGTTTGAATAGTGTTTGTTAATTCGAAAATTTCTATGAATTGTAACCCATATTGATTGTATATACACATAGTATTGGTCGAAAATATAAGACTAATGTTTTTTTTTCTACTATGTCAAGCATTTAAATTCAAATTCAAATAATGGTTTGAATAATAAATGAATTTTTTAGATGAACGATGAGAGGAAAGTGGTTTCTTTTTAACTCGTTGTTAACTATTCTTAATTTTGTTTTGAATTTATTGTATTTCTATTTGGATATTTTTGTAAATCAAGAGTATTCATTTTACATTTTGTCTTGATGAGAATAAATTATAAACTAAAAGAATCCTAATCATTATTGTTGTTGTTTTTCTATGAAAATCTTCAAAGATTTTCTTTAAATTTCAGAACTAAAACAACTAGGAATCGTCTGAAAGACTTCAAAAAGTGATGAAACTTCCAGTTTGTAATAGAATTATGGGTATTTTTATTTGTGTACAAACATTGCTCGTGGCTGTTTATCAGTTCTTTATCTTCTACAAGGCATCATTATCGAATAGCTGTCCTTCTATCATAGGCGGCAGAACGTTTTGATTCAAAGATAGGCTCAAAATTTTTTATAAGGTCCGTTTTTGAATGCCATTTAGATGAAATACAGTTAATGTCTCTTCCATTGAACTCACATTTTGCAACGTATAACAGTGGTAGAAATCAGAAAAAAATTCACAATTTGCGTAAAAAGACATACACTTGAAGAAACATGTGAACATTTATGTTCATCAAAATGCAACCTTCGAAAGAAGAACTTCTAATCTGCTTTGTCGAAAAAAAGTTTGATGACGAAGCAGAAATATTCCATTGTGAGTTTCTTCACTGTTGAAAATATTCAATACACATGTAATCTTAGTCGCTGAAAATGCAGAAAAATTTCAACAGATTCTAATTAATCCGGCTCAGACTTTTCTTACAGTTCATCATCACTTGTAATGAAGGATTCTCACTATAAATCATTGAGAATATATAATCCAATACTTATTTGTACAAAACTCACTGTTTCATGAAGAACGTTACTCACAGCTATAAAATACGATCGTCAAGTCACTAAAAAAAAAGTATTCAATTCTGAGATATTTAATTACTATCAAGATGCAATCGATCATCATTCTTTCTTGTGTAAGTGTACTCAACATCAGCACTCTTCAACATTATTCTTTTTTTGTCTTAAGGTGGCTCTTGGTGTGACTGTTCTATCAGTTCATATGCATTCGCATGGCGAAAATTATGATCAAAGACCACCGTTCGGCAATAGTACATTTCATCTTAATTGAATTTTTCTACCATCTATGAATGAATGTTCATAAACATAATAGTTTGTCATCACATCATGGCAATAAAACTCAAGGAAATATAGTATTTATATCAGAAAATTTCTCTTCCTATCCACTACATGAACATGAAAGTAATGGTGGTTAGAGTCCGTTGGATCGAAAACTTTCGGACCCAAACTCGGTCGAACTGCACTTTGACATTCTCAATAGAACTCTCAAATCGAAATTGGATAGGCCTTCTGAAGAAACGAGATACTTTTTTTTCCGATTTTTTTATATTCAGTGTCTAGCGCATCCTACATATTCCTCAGACTACTAAAGCCTATCATGTATAAAATCTTCGGACTCGACAGGCTCTAATGGTGATCCTTGACCAGGTATATTTTTGTTTGACAATTCCAATATTACATCTATTAATAATGTTTTTTCTTTTAATAGGAGGATCTAGTAATCACTCATGATTATAGATTTTTTGGACTCAACTACATTTCTTGTCTAAAAAATTTTTACTAACTTATTTTTTTCTGTTGCATGTTCTTATAACTTTATAAATACAGATGTGTTTTTTGGTAAATTCCATCATCATAAAATGTAAATTCTATTTGATAAATCAAATAGTTTATGTTAAATATATATCTGAAGTAGTCTATTAAAAGAATCATCTTTTTTTCTCGTTCTGCCGGTTATGATGTGTAATAGCAATACTTATCAAAAATAGTGAGAGAAATTCAAACTATATATGATTATATGAATTTTTTATTTAATATAAAATGAATTAAATAAATGAAATTATATTATAATGAAATATTATTTTGTTCTACGTCTTTTCATCAATGCTTACCATTAAAGGCAAGTAAATCAATAAATTTATATAGAACTCGACGATGAGTTTGAAACCATGAACATTTGTCATTATCAGATCGATTGTATCGATTAGTTGAGCAACATGTTACATAAAAAAACAATCATTACTTCGAATTTGCAATGCTTCACAATAGCTTTTAGAAATCACTATATCTGCCCATTTTATAATTCCTGTTGATTGTTCCTCTTGATTAGAATATGGACGTACTTGTGAAGGAGAGTCAGTTTTAGGCAAACTCAAGTTCACCCACACCCATATACGTCTCGAGATCTTTCTATTGCATCTACTTTTGTGAAACCTATATAATCATCTATATGATTCGTCCTCTCTTGTCGTCTCGCTACTTTTTCACAAAGTTCTCGATCTTTGTCGGTTTGTATTTGATTTTAACAGTATTTCTCGTAGGAGTTTCGCCTTTTTTGAGGTCATTGGCCATTGATGGATATCATTTTCTCTTATAGCCTAAGTTAACATGATCACGAATATAATATTTTCTCATGAAACAACTTCCCGGTGGTCACAATAGAAAATGCAGAAGTTCAAGAAAAGAATCATTTTGGACAGTAACGTCTTCATTGCAGACGACGCGGTTGTTGTTCAAAAAAACCTTTTTTTAATGAAAAAAAACAATAGTTTCCATTCTTGTTAACCAGTTGCGGACTTCACCCATAGCCCACCATGTCTTTATTTTGTCAATCATAAAATAGTAGAAAAAAACTACACATAAAACGAAAGAGAAATAAAGCATGCAATACACACGCAAATTCATATTGTCATCTATTTGTTCTCATTTTTTAACACAAGTACTTGGCCAGCATGACTAATATTGATAGCTACCGAAGCCGGCAGATAGAACGGTTCACCATCCATTTGTGCTGTCATTGGACAGCAAAGTTCGATCCGCAATCGATTACATTGAGCGATTCGACGGCCACTAAATCCAACATGGATTGCAGCCATACGTTTAGTACTCAATCCAACAACTTCGATTTTTCGATCACCAAAATCTTGTCGTTCAAAATGGCCGGTTGAGGCTGTTGTCGTCGTCAATGAACTCGCTGTTTGTTCTGTAGCACAATCGTTCAAAGTGGTTGATTCAAAGGTTTCTTGGTCCGACGATTGATTGGTATTGTCGATTGTTGAACTTTTTGATGAAGATTTTCCCCACGGAGTCGTACCAGATGCATAGCCTGGAATGTTGAGTACGACCAGGGAATGACAATTACGTATGATATGAGTCAGATTTTGGCCGTCGCATATCAAACGAATATAAGAGCCCAGATTCCACATATTTGCCAGAACAAAATCATTCAAATATTTGCCACTTTCGTTCAAATACATGAGCTTATTTTTTAATGGTGACGAAAATTTCGATGGATCACGTGTGCGTTGATCATGAAAATTGAGAGTAACGGCTGCGTCTAACCCGAAACTCATATAATTGATAAATCGTGTATTCGGTAAATTGTGATAGTTCTCATAGGAGGCTCGATTGCTTTCGCGAACGAATTTTGGATGTCTGATTAACGGTTCAAATATTCCACCAATTTCAAAGCCACTCTCGCGATGTTGTTGTGTCGATGATGTCAAATTTGTCACATCGACTTGTTCAAGCTGAACTTGCCAACGATCGAGTGCAACCACTTTAGCTTGAGGAGTTTGTAGGAGTGTATAAGAAAGACGTTTCGGATCGTATTGTTCGCCCCAAGCCAATACACGTGAAAGATCGTTGCCTGTTCCTAAAGGGCAAATACTCACCGGTGGATTATTTCTGAATGGATATGCCTCGGCTAGACGACCAAGAACCCAACCGACCGTCCCATCACCACCAAACACGCAAATACGAATATTTGGTAGCGTAGAATAGATGTCAAGAGCTTGGGTGATGGTAGCATTGTTTTCTAGAAGAAATACTTGACGTGGATTGAGCTTTTGTAACAGTTCTCGATAGATTTTCTCGCCCATTTGACCACCAGAACGTTTGTTTATAAAGACAAGAACGGGTGTATACGGAAAAGAGTTCGATTTGGCATTGCTATGAGCTAAATGCGAAGGCAGTAGAACTCTGAAGCCAGTTGGATATTCGGTGGAACGACTGAGCCATTGCGATCGAACAATAATATTTCTATCAATGAAAATCAAAATATCGATCTCGACTAGCAATTAGAGTTAGATCAAAGTATTTCAGAAAACTCCTCAATGAACTGAAAAAGTGACATGAGTTTTCTTCCGAATATGACTCGGACTTCTTACATTTGTAAGCAATTTTCGAGATTTTTTACCTTGGTAATCATTTCGAACTTTAAAGAAAATCATCAACGAACAGGGGTGTAGAAAACTGTCAAGATGGTGATGAACCTAGCAAGAAGTGTTATCAAAAATCCTTATGAACATCGATACCATGCAAAGTTCTTTCTTATTCTATGTGCATAATCATCGTCATAAACTTACCGAAATATTCCATAGTCACATTTGATCTTGTCATCTTGAGTAGCAAGATTTTCCCAGCACGAATGATGATAACCTTTGGAGCACCATAAACAAACAAGACCATGAGAAGTTCTGGACATCTTTGGACTGGAGTTTCCTGGTGTAGAACTCATAATCGATGTGATTTGATCGATAATATCTAAAGGTGATATCATCGATGGTCGACCAGTTTCGCTGCCAAAAAGGGTCGTAGCTATTGATGTTCGTTGACAATGCATGCACGGTTTCGGAAGTACGGGCACATGAGACCAAAAGTGTTCATCATATTTCGATGGATTATCATCATCATCATCGAGAAGCGAGTTTCTCAGCATTGTGTTATCGACAAACGATGGGCGACACGGTGGAATAGTATCGGCTTTGGTCGCCTGTGAATCTGTCAAATGGTGCTCATGTACGACCAAAGTACATGATGCACATTGTAGAAGTGTTGATTGACGTGTCGGCTTCAGTTTTGTACAAGAGACATAGGCACACGGCTGAGCCGTTCGGGAATCATTGGATGTAAAAGGAAACCAACAGTGAGATGTGGGGCAAGCACGATCACTCCAATCGACTCCGTATGAAATAGAAATCTTGCAGTCGGATTCGGACGATGATGCTAATGATCTTGACAGAATCGGCTCGGAGGCACTAAAGAACAAAAAAAGCATCCTGTCGTAATACTCAAGCGATTTACATGACAAATACCTTGTCTGATCTGAGACGATGAATGACTGAGACCCGATTGGTTGCTCGTTTTGTTTGGGCGAGTATGAATCAAAATGAGACGATGATTGAGCAGCTGCTATATAATTATTGGGCGATGATAATGAGTATAACTGTTCATCATCATGATCATCTGTATCGTCGCTCAGTTGACTGTTGTCATCAAAACTTGAATGATTTATTAGATTGTCATTGGTGGCAAGAGTTGATGTAGTTGACGCAGCAGATGGCAATGTTGTCATGATCGATTATCTAGAAATTAGCGAAGATAGTCGTAGCTAAACATGCAGTAAAAGGACGAGCATGACTAACTTATCTCTTTAGGTCACATATATGAACATGCTCAGAATCGAAGAACTAATAGATTATCATGATCTGTTCGACTGTGTATTCATCCGCGTCTGCTGATCAAATTGGTGAAGGTTGTGACTGGATGTGACAAACATTTATTTCTCTCTCGTATTTCTTCAATTCTGCTACACGAAACGTCTATTTTGATGCCAATTTGCGCAGCTTACATCTACACGTAGGCTTCCGATGGTATAGGAGAATGAGTTCCAATTAAGTGAAATGCGCATCTAACTTCCGACAAATATTACAAACGCGACAGCTGGAATGAGGGCATGTCAGGCAAGAATGGGAAGTACATTCTCATGTTTCGTAGACTTATTTATAGCTAATATGTAGAAGAAACAGAGTCAAATGAGAAATTAATGAACTTGACGCTTCTTTCTTTTTTTTGATAACGCTTGCTGGAAGCAACATGATCTGCTGCTGTTTTTTTTTTCGTACTTGATTTATCTCTGTCTCTCATTCTGAACCGATACTTTCGATGGAAGACTTCACAATAACCAATTAGTTCACCTCTTAACTGCCGTTGCTACTAGTTGAATTACTAGGTCTTCGCCGAAATACATACAGCTTTTGTTAACGTGTCACCAATGCATGTGTACGAAAGAGAGAGAACTGTGCGAGTTGTCTGACAGAACTCAATACGTGCTCTTTTTTTTATTTCAGAATTTGTTTTGCTCATTTTCTTGCGATGTCACCAAGCGAACGCGAGAAAGTCTTACGTACGACTACGCGCATTAGAAAAAAAGCAAAAAAAAACATTCTTCAAGTAAAAATTTGCAATGGAAGAGCTCAAAACAACAATGTATGCACTTCTGAAGAATTTTGTGTAATTATAAAAAAAGTCATGCGTCATTTTGACACAATTTGGCTGATACCATTGGCGGAAAATAGAACGCACTTCTCGGCGAAGTTATTGAAATAATAATGTAAAACATTTCGAACAATTTAAGGACCGAAACAGTTATGAGCATTCTTCCCAACTAAAATGACAAACAATCATGTAAATTCGCAGTAAGATGCAGTATATTGCTGCCAATGCTGGAATAAAAATCTATTCCTAGACTGAACGAACTTGAAGCTGTTTCGATTTGACAAAAAAACCTACATGACATATCCAAGATTTCTACTTTGGAATACATTGTAATCTACTAGTTTTCCAGAGTTTTTCCAGAAAAACTCATACTTCAAAGGATAATGTGTGAGTCCCAGCCATCAAAGTTGTTCATGCTTCTCTACAACCTTGTAACGTGAAATATATGACTATCTAACATCGATCAGTATGTACGACACATTTGTATAACTTCTAAATTAATTTTCTGGTAGAATCGGATGATGAACAAAAACTTGATGTACAAAGTCAAAATTCAAGAAAGCTCGCACAATTTTCAAATCCAATAGGAAACTGCACTCTAAAACTTCACAGAGTCGAGTTTTTAAAAACTTTTGAACTTACTTTTTTTGAAATCGATGCATGTTTTTCTCTAGAGGGAGAGAAAAGTTTTTACCATCGTATCAGTATTTGCCTATTCACTTTCTTGTCGGATCACTTGACAATTAATTACAGATTTTGTTTTGTTGCATTATTAACTATTTATGAAATATTCAGTCTACCGTTCCAAACATCTCTGACCCTTATGCTAGTTTTACTCAACCGATTCTATTTAACAAAATCAATCTTGCGAAATGAATAGTTCCGATCTTACCACTGTGAGTTTCTGTCAGATCGTCGATATTATTTTCAGAACGAAACACGTGGATGCATACAAAAGAGACACAAGGGAGTGCCGAATAGAGATCAGCGAGAACACCATGGCTCCCATACTCCCGACCTTGCTGGAGCCGGATTGGAGTCGAGGTCGGGACTGGGGAGAAATGAAAGTAATTTTCGGATTTTTGGGCTAAAAAGTTTGACCTCGCTGATCTGTAGTGTCGAGCAAGGTAAAAAGAAACCACGCCAAGAGTGATTACATAGCATTCGTATAAAAATACTCTGTCTTTGGCAATGGAATCCTAGTGTCGTCCTCCAAAACGCAGTCTGTTTTTGTAGCGTTCACTAGTGTAGATGCAATCGTATAGATAAAAAGTCATTGTTAATGCTTACTAACAAGTAGACTATAGTGAACAAAAGAAAAAAAACTGATTTTATATTTCCGTACATATTCGCAATAGATGATACAGCTGCAGCTGACTCCAAAGCATTGGTTTTCAAGAAACAAAAACATTTTCGTCAGTAATTCGAGTTCGAAATCATGTATAGTCAATATAATAGTGACAAACTCTATTCACTCACCTTCGAATGTGTGTTGAGCGACTTATTTTCGTCTTTCTTCTATTACAATCATGTGGAGAACGGTTTATAAGTAAACATATTTATATTCATGTTTAGCTTGTAAAGAAAAGAAAAACGACATTACAGGTGTTTCGTTGCGACGGTGTGAATTTGTCTCCTACAGCATGCACTACGTCATGAATGGGGGCTACATAAATTTCTCTCGATCTTCTATTTATTTCAAATAAATATCGATGTTCGTCACTATAATAACTTTAAAAGTTTCGGAGTTACATGAAAGTTACACAAATCTCAGAGTCAGCTTTTTCCGTTGAGTAACTTTCATACATTCAAGAACATTGTACATTGATTTGTCGTTATCCTATTGTTCCTTTTGATCGAAGAAAAACATCCTCAGAAGTTCAGAACAAGCCATCAATCAACGAATGGCTTGTATGTCAATATAACAGACATCCTTTTATTGATTCCCTAATATTGACTTCGTGTGATCAAACATTCTGTCGCGCATGCATCGAGTCCAATCAAAGACTTTGTCGGTCAATGATTTGATTTCGGCGGATTCAACTCTGCACAAAACGTTCGATCACCTGGTTGTTAAATGCAATGATTGTGATCATAAGAATATTTAACCGGACATTTTTGACGACCACGACGAACAGCTCTGCTTGACACCAATTATTACTTGTTCTGCTTCTGACATTAAGTGTCCGTAGACGGAACCGACTAATTAACTGAAGCAACACATTATCTCCTGTGCTTACGAACAAATCCGACCTATGCTTGTCAAGCTCATCACTAAGAGCGATCATTTCAGAGAAAGATGTAAACAGCTTGAAACTATAATCAATCAGCGTGAGATAGGTATATGCCTAATTTAAACATTTCTGTAGATCTAATAATGTGGCGAACTTCATGCAGATAAAAAGATACAAATCATTTACTACTTATTGTATTGAATATAGAAAAACGAGTTTGAAACGACGAGACTTTAACAAATCGATATGATAGATCTGAAATTTTGTCATCTATTCGATCATGGAACGTGCAGATTGGAGCCCAACTATGGTATTGTCAGTAGGGTGTGGGTTTGGGGTGGGAGAACAAGACTCTTTCTCATTTTAATTAATAGGTAAACGTGCATCATTTGAAAGAATAGATAATGAGTTAAAAAACTTAGAATGATAATTTGACCCAGAATATAAGTATTACAGCTAAAATTTACGTCGTTTTCAACATTTAATACTCCTTGTAGATCATGAAAGAAATGAATTAATGTAATCATAATAATTTAAATAAAAAATAAATTATAACTTTATACGACCCTCACAGCATTCACAAATTTAAACTTATATTCTATCACTCGAGTGTGGATGTGGATGTTACTTATGAGAACAATAACATGACACACTCACACCCTTTGATTGGTCGACAGCGGACCAATCAGATCATTCAACTGATCATGGTGAATTTCTCCTATCTAATTGCTTTTATCGGTGATCCTAAGTTGGTTGGCTGAAATAGGAGATCTCAGAAAAACACTTATCACTCTTGAACGAAGAGTGTGGATCTTCTCTTCTCATTCATCCATCCCCAGATCCACAACCACACTGTCCCAAGTAGATGTTTCATATAAAATAAAATAGCATATTTCTTTTGAGTTACTAGTAAATATTGACCAACACTATCATTCTTTAAAAAAACTGCAAGCTAACAAGTTAATTAAAAGAAGTTGATTTAGTATTCTTCCGTCTTTATCACATTGTTCAATGTTCTAACAAACATAAAGACAATTGTATTAGCGTCATCTATCGTGATATGTCTCATATGATGAAGGACAATTTACTGCACATCGATAAGAGCTTTGATTGATGTATAACGTATTTATGCATGACTTCAGTTTTGAGTAATAATAGGAAGACTAAACAAAAAAAAGAAAACTTCTTTTACATTTTTCTCAAAATA